TTTAATATTATTTTTATATATTGTTTTTATATATTATTTTTAATATTATTTTTCTATATTATTTTTATATTATTTTTATATGTTTTTTCTATATTATTTTTTATATTATTTTTCTATATTATTTTTATATTATTTTTATATATTATTTTCTATATTATTTTATATATTATTTTTAATATTATTTTTATATATTGTTTTTATATATTATTTTTAATATTATTTTTCTATATTATTTTTATATTATTTTTATATATTATTTTTATATTATTTTTATATATTATTTTCTATATTATTTTTATATATTATTTTTATATATTATTTTTATATATTATTTTTATATTATTTTTATATATTATTTTTATATTATTTGTATATATTATTTTTAATATTATTTTTACATATTATTTTTATATATTATTTTCAATATTATTTTTATATATTATTTTTATATTATTTTTTCTAGATTATTTTTTATATATTATTTCTATATTATTTTTATATATTAATTTTTATATTATTTTTATATATTTTTCTATTATTTCTATATATTATTTATATATTATTTTTATATATTATTTTTATATATTATTTTTATATATTATTTCTATATTTATATATTAATTTTTATATTATTTTATATATATTTTATATTATTCTTATATTATTTTTATATATTATTTTTATATATTATTTTAATATTATTTTTATATATTTTATATATATTTTTATGTACTATTTTAATATTATTTTTATATAATTTTTTTATGTATTATTTTTTATATATATTATTTTTTATATTATTTTTTCTTGAAGATCTAGTGACTTATCTCCTCTGTGCTGCACTGTGGCATTTTCTGTCTGATCACTCACTATCACCCAAAAACCTCTAGGAAAAGAACATGAAGAAGAAAGAAGAAGGGACAAGGGACAACACTTTAAATCCTCTATTTTGTCTCCTGTTCTCTAAACTACTTTTTCACCCAGTGATTTAAAAAAAAAGCTTTCTAATTTACACACTCGCACTTTTAGCTTTTTTCATCTGCCTCTAACGTTTGTTCTCACGTATCAGCATGCAAACCCGCTGATGGATTTCACGTTCCGTGAAATTCCGCGTTTTTCTGGATCTCATAAGTGATTCCCAGGAGGAAGGGCACGCGCTCTGCATCCCA